AGCACATTTATGTATTTGTAGAATATCTTCAACAATTAAAGTGTAACCAATTAATAATATAAAATATCGCAATCTGCCCATGTGTTCAACTCGTTGCCATCACATTCCCTGGATCGATCCATTAATCTTACAAATCAATTGCCAATCCCTTTCCTACATAACAGTCTCATTACGCGAAAAGTCATTTCATTAGTTGGCAATGACTAATTACTTTGAATTACGATGGACTGCCAGCATTTTATAGATTCATCGATCTGGGAATTCGCGGCGCCAATCGCATTCGATGCAAAATGCAAAAATGCGCCTCCACAGCAGAGACCCCATGCCGCTTAAAGACCCATCAGCAGTCGAAGACGACGGGGCCAAATGATCAACTGCCAGGCATTCAAATAAATTAATTGCAGACGAGCAGCGAACAAAAATGCAACAGGTATGAAAATTGCTTCATTAGATCGTTAAGGCAGAAGCAATAACAACTCTTTCGGCTGCTCACACACAGTAAAAGCTAAACGATAGACTGTCTATCGTGACACGAAATCATCGTGAGTAAGAGTATCATCAGTATCGTATTAGTATCAAAGCACATACAATGATTATGTCAAAAGAAAAGCCATAGACTTTTGATTCTCTTAAGTTTACACACTCTGAGGCATTTTTATTGATATAATTTGAGTGCTTCAACTAATACCTTCACAGATTCTAATAAAGGTCGGTCTATGTTTTCAGTTTGCACTCTTAAGGTCGAATTTGAGTTTGATCGTAACGTGAAACGAAAATCAGACACGCGCCCATCTCTAGAAACAAGAGATCGGCCAGCTGATCGCTTTATTAAGCCGAAAACAAGTTGGCAGCAACTTGGGCTGTATTTTAAATCAATAACCTGGCAATTAAAATCCATGCGGTGGTCCCATAACACGGCCTGGCCGCAACGCCGTTTAATAAAGTTAGCATTTGTATAATGTCTTGTCAAAAATTTATTGGCATTTTTTCTTAACGTTTAAGAGTTTTCGATAGTTGTTGTTGTTGTTGTTGTTGCGATTGTGATCTCTGGTATGCCGCTTGAAATGGCTTTAACTGACCGCCAACAGCGATTGCAGTGGACATATTTTGAGTCTGCTGTGGGTCCCCATTGTTATTATTGTTGCTGTTGCTGTTGTTGCTGTTGCTGTTGCTGTTGCCGGGGGGGTGTTGACAATTAAAAGACATGAAGCGATTGCCGATTCGCTGGCAATTGCCAGCATTCATTTGGCTTGATTGCCGACAGTTAACAGTGCGATTGCGTTCTGATAGGCTGGCAATTGCATAGTTTTCACCTTTTGCCTCATTGCGAATTGATTAACTTATGCAAATGCCCAACTGTTACCACAGATCTCCCCATGACAAAAGGCGTTGCCCTGCACGTTCTGCTCCTCTCAGTCAAAAAGGAAAAACCAAAAAATCATACGAAATACCGAAAGCAAAAAACCTCTCCTCAAAATTTTACTGTATTTCTAATTTCCATCAAGCGGCGCTTTGTTGGCTCTGCGACGCTGACTCTGACTCTGACTCTGCTTGGCAAAAGATTCTCATGTTTTCCTTTTTTTGGCCAGCTCCAAAGCGACTTCATTGTCGTCGTCGTCATTGTCGGCGGTGTCGGTGGATTTTCAATTTCTAATGTAGTGCACGTTACGCCCTGAAGCGATTTTTATTTTATACTTTTTCGGCTTTACGGGTTTTATTTATTTATGCTAGAGCTGGGCGACACTGTGGCATAGAATGGAAAACTTTCATAAATATACTTATCTAATATACAAAAGCATATGAATATGAAATATATACTATATAGTAAATTCTTTGAGAAAAAAATAAGTGTATTTAAGTTATGTGTTCCTTTAATTTTATAAATTAAATTATAATGTATATATATATGTATATTATATACAATGCATTCCATTAAATACAAAAAGATTTTTTTTAAGTCATACCTTTCGTTCCAGCTTAAAATTGACTCTCTCCTGCATTAAAATATTTATTTTGAAAACTTTAACATTTTTTCCACTTAATTCAGAAATCATTCCACTGTGCCACATGGCGCCCTGTCCAAGGCTTCAGACGCCATTTGATGACAAACTTCAAATTCAAAATGTTTGCATGCAATATTTGTTGTTGCCTATTTTATGATTGTTGGTTGCTCCAGCTGGTTGTTGGTGGTGTTGTTGTTGTTGTTTGGTCGTGGTGGCGGTGGTGGTGATGGCGTTGCTGCACACTTTTAGTCATCACCATGTCAGCGGCGCAGACAGCGATCCAAACAATCAAAATGATATGCAAATATATGTAAGAGTACCGCTACGAAAAAGGCGTGGGTTAATTGTGACTTTATCATACGACGGCCAAAAGGAACAATGAAAATTCGCAATCGAAAGGAAAAAATCAAATTTATTACAAATTTAAGCATAGAAACCAACACGACAACACCGGCCCTGGCGACGTCTCTAACGACTCGACTCCTCTACAGCTCCAAGAGCTCCGACTGTGACTTCAACTTCAACTTCGAGTTGAACAGAAACGATGGCGATGCGGCAAGTTATAGATTTCGTCATAGTTGCGGTATGGCTAGATATGAATATCTGGAAATAAACCTGTCAACCGACACCAACGCCAACCGGCTGTGAACTACGAACTTGCAGACCGCCCAGTCGGCGGGTGGGCGGCGCCAAAACTAAGCCACCAAAACGCTGAAATACATAAAACACATTAACACAGCACTGGGAACGGAAATGGTCGCATGCATGTCAAGTTTTCCCATAGCAACCAGAAAGGCCCTGCAGTCGATTCGAGATTCGAGATTCGGACTGAAGCGTAACATATTCCAAAGTTTAATGCAAACAACGGCATATGCAGCCTATGAACTACGAGCGGTAACAGTAACTGCAGCAGTAAATCTAACCGTAACCGAACTGCATCCATATCAGACACACAACTCCTGCCTGTAGAGCAGACGAAAGCCGCGACCCACATATTCGGCATCGGTGCGAAAGGGCAGCACAATGGGACCGGCGGCTATATCCCTCACTGTGGCATGCATGGTATAATCCTCAATCTCGATTCCATCGTTCAGCCGCTCTCCACACAATCGCACCGAGTTGATGGCTATGAAGTCATCCGGGCAATTGAAGATCCCAGCGCCAGCCTGGCCATCGGGTACAAGATCATTTTCAGCTGAGAAAAAGAAATCAAATTGATTCTACTCATTTCTATCATACTCTATTCCTATTGTCTTACCTTCATCCTTATTGATGAGCTGGAAGTCGGGCTGGTCTCCGCCTTGCTGTTCGGTGCTATAGCTAATGCTGCACACATTTTTTGACCTGGCCAAGCATATTGCATAGTTGAGATTGTTCTAAGCATGAAAAGTTTATTTAACGCTTAGCGATTTCTTAAGTTTCGATTAGATTATCAGATACTGACCAGATAGGTTGCCTCACGGTTGTCCACAATGCTGCCAGCCACATCGTAGTTGAATGACTTGATTATACCCTCACCATCTTTAAAGTATTGCAGGCAATTATCCGGCGCGAGCTGATCTTCAAGTTGACTGATCATGATATTAAACGATCGTCCGCCGCTTGAGACCTTGACAAATACCGAGAGATATACCTTACTCTCAGTGGAGTCTCCAACGTGCACATACACTACACAATAAATAGAAGTGGAACTTCAATGGAGACTTCCCTCTGAGCCTCGTACTACTTACGGTGTTGGCCCGTATTAATGCCACAGAGTATGGGTACTTGGAAGTTGGCATTGTGTCCGGATATGATGAACTGATCGTCTAAGCAATCGCCATCTGTGGGGCGACTGAGCTGCAAGTCAAAGAAACACGCTCTATATAGTTCTATATCAAATATATATGTTGGGACATTGGGAATATAATGGATATGCCAGTACCTCGAACATTTGGAAGTCCAGACGCAGCTGCTGCACCCCTTGTCTCAGATTTATGATCAGCACACAGATCATCATTTCGCGCACCGCCTGTGGATAGTTGGGACTCTCAAAGTAAACGATCTGCTGGCTGGTAACATCGCCACAGCCGTTAACAACTGAAAGCGAAAGTAGCCTCAAGCAAACGCAATATCACTTCACTTCATGTACTCACAGATGCAACAGGCGCCGACACCCTCGGCACATCGTTCGGTGGGTATGCCGCCCAAGCTTTTGCATTCGAACTCGTGATAACAGACACCCTCCATGGTGCGAATGTCGCCCATAGAAACGCTGCACTTGGTGTTGGGAAATTTGATCACCTCGAAGAGACTTAAGAAGCCCTTACCCTTAGATTTGGGGGCACCGGGTTGTTTTTGTATAAGATTGGCCTGGATCGGCGATCCATAAATGAGATGCTTAAGTTTATTTCCCAGCTTGGTGGAAAATGTCTGTGGCTGCATGATGGAGGTGCGCGTTGTGGCTGGAGTGGGCGGCGGAAAAGGCCTCATTGAAGGCCTCATCGAAGGCTTTACTGAAGGCTTCACTGAAGGCTTAGCTGATGGCTCCTCCGTTGGCATAGCACTTGGCATCATGTCCGTGCTGGTGGGCTCACTTGGTATTTCAGTTGGCTCCGGATCGGGTTCCATGGAAGTCGGCCGCATTGGTATGGTTGGCTCGGGCTCTTCGGGTTCCATCGGCTCTGCCGGCGCCGGCGGCATCTCTGTCATTGCTGGTGGCATCGGCGGTGCCATAGTCATCTCCTCTTCCTGTTCCTGTGCAAAACTCTGGAGATGATTGCCTGGCTGGTAGCGCAGCGTATAGTGATAGCCAATACCATCAATGGTCATGCCACCGAGCCGTTGCGGGGATCTTCTGGCACTGTCACGCCTACTCTTCATCACGCCCAGTGTCACGAAATCGCGACGATCATCGGCGCCAGCCACGCCCACATAATAGAGCGTCAAAACAAGAGCTCTTATCAACGCATCGCGTTTTGACAACATTATTAACGGAACTCCACTTAGCGACTGCCTTCAGATCTTTCCAAACGGCAATCGCTGCTGGGGCTTCGTCTGTTTCAGCTTCAGCAGCAGCTGCTGCCTCAGCCCCTGGCTGCCCCAGCTACATGTTTTCTTCGGCTTTATTAGAGCATTAATTGTGGTAGCCACCAACGATGTTGTCGGTTGTCAACACTGTCATCGTAGTCGGCTTTCCCGCATTTCCCATCTTGGCTGCTGCACAACCTTCACTTTTGCAGTATTTTCTTACGCTCCTCAGCGATCAACCAACAAAGTCACGCTATTGTGATCGCAAATATGTTCCACGTTGACTGCTTGGCTCTGGTAGTAATTCCGACAGTTGCATCCATTGCTCTATTGCAGCGACTCTGGGCTGCCAAGAGGCCAAAAGCATGGTGACATTATTTAAAAAATTATCCCAACCTTATGCACATCAGCATTGCAGAGGCTTAGACAAGAGAATAAAACAAGCTGAGAAGGTGAGTTGGCACAAAACTAAACTGAGCAAGACTACGGGATGAACTACCAAATTCATTATATCCATGCTTTAATTATGGAGAGTTACTGCACCCGACTCTGGAGCTCTCGGCCAGAATAGGTCGTAACGTCTCACTGATGTCCTAATAACACATAATAAATTTGAACTTTGCGGGCTCTAATTATTCATTTTAAATGACTTTTGGTTTCCCTTCATTGGTGCACAGCAAATGAGCTCAAACTTTTTTTTGAGTAATTGTATTTGTTTCCGATCAGATATCGATTCATTGACTAAATAAAAAATAAATATTACTTGATATATATAGCCATGGCTTTCTAACTATAAAAAGCTATATTTTTCTTTTATATTCAGAGATTTTTAAATAATATATTCAGTTATATAGCATATTACTTATAGCATATTACTTCGACCGTAATTTGCTCTTAATAAACATTTGAATTTTGTAAATAAAATCGTGTATTTATTTACCTTGATGTCTTATTCTGTAACCATAAAATAAACATCTGTTGAAAACTGAAGTCGCTTATCAAATAACCAATTTATTTTCACTAAAAATTCGCCAGAAGGCCAAGCCAGTGGCACACTGTCATAACGTATGTACAACCCATCAATATAGTATGAGCCCTACAAGGAAATATTGAATATTGAAATAAGTAAAGAGAGGTAATATTTGACTTACCAATAAGGGACATCTGGTATTAAAATTGGTATAGTTCTTAAGCAAATTGAACACCAAAACAGCAACAGGATTATATGGCTTCTTAAGAAACCGACAGATATCAATTGATGGCTTGTAGAGCCAAGGCTTGTAACCGTTTGCTTTGAAAAATATTTGTGATTCAGCATGAACAGTTTTCGTAGTATGCAGAAGTGTAACTTGAAGATTCAAAGTAGTCTTGTTGCGATTGATTGCTCGCAGACGACACATGTCCACAGTAACCCAGGATTCATTATGTGACTTGCAGACGGCATTCGTGAACTTGCATTGACCTGCATTCTAAATTTGGAAATACACTTCAACTGTTTTATAAATTTAAAAAATTGTAAACCTACACTGAATTGGAGCATAAAGCTAAATTGAAGAAGGCTGACAGCAAATAACGTACTCCTCATAGCTGCGATGTAGCTCAGCAAAACATACCACACGCGAAATATTATGTTCAGTTCAATCTTAACTATTTAACAATCAATGTTCACAGTAGAATTATTTCACCGAAAAGGTAGTACTTTGTCCATGGCCCTGCATTATATATCGATACCCAACTCGAAAATGGAAATTTAATTATATAAATGAAACAAATAATTGTGATGCATCATTACACTACCTAAATACCCGAACGGATCATTCATATTATAAAAGGTAAAAAAATGTTTTATTGGGGACAGATACATACTCCGAGCCATGCAAAACTCAGCTTACTGCATAGATTATATAGAATGTATGTATATACACATATACATTATACAGTCCAGTCTCGAAATTTCGTACCCCGCTTAATCGAACATCGGGCAAATTCGAAAAACAATTTTTTTCTCAATAATTCTCGGTAATTTGCCATTTCGAATTACCGGGACTCTAATTTATTATATATACATATATACATTCAGATACATCAAGTTTCAAGTCTGATTACAAAATCGGAGGGTTTATACAGGCGGCTATAGCTTATTTAACATTATGTGCCTCGCCATTTAACATTATATATTCAAAATATTATTTGTTGAATAAATTAGGTATATATAAAAAACTTGGCTTTTTATACCCTGAACCCATTGAAAATGGGAAATCAGGGTATAATGGTTTTGTGAAAAAGTATGTAACGGGCAAAAGGAGGCGTGGCAGACCCCACAAAGTATATATATTCTTGATCAGCGCGACGAGCTGAGTCGATATAGCCCTGTCCGTCTGTCCGTCCGTCCGTCCGTCCGTCCGTCCGTCCGTCCGTCCGTATGAGTGCGTCGATCTCAGAAGTTACAAGAGCTAGAGAGCTGAAATTTGGCATGCATACTCGTGTGTACCATACGCAGTACGAGTTTGCTTTATTTTTTCGATAAATCGTCCGATAACTTTTTTATCGAGAATAATCGAAAAATGAATTTTGTTTTTCCAGCCTAATTTGAACACTTTTAGACCTGGAGACTTCAAATTTGCGTTGTATATAAAGTTAATGGATACAAAGATTTTGTAATTTACAGATTTTGGATACCACGCCCCCTTCGCCCCCAATTTGTAAAAAACGCATTTAAAGTATTAGAGACTTGTGCTTTGGAATGTACACACATATTCACCATATGATTACACTCTAAAAGTTTCATTAAGATCGTATGTCTACAAAAGAAAATATTCAACAAATAAATTCTCATAATATTGCCCACACTGCAGCGCAGCCCAAGCGCAGTCGCTGCTTACCGCGCAGTTAGCAGAGCGCGTGCTTATAAGTGCATGTGTATGTATGTGTGCATAAAATAAGTCCAGAATGTTTAGAATATCAGCTTGGAAGGTTCAGGGTATCTCCTAGTCGAGCAGTCTCGACTGGAGCCTTCTTACTTGTTTTGTATTCAATTGGTTTATTTATAGTACCATCAAACAATGGATTCATTATATCTAACTACAATATTTATAATATCTAAAATGAAACAATCGCGTTTCCCCTCACATTTTTATATTTGTTTGTCAAATGCGCAATTATTTATATTTGTTGCCATGCTTTTCAGATAATTCCAGCAACACATTAAGCGTTAACAGCTGCAAAAGTTTATATTATCGTTGTTATTTTTGTTGTGGGCTGTGCATAATAATACCAATTACAGTTGGCGTCAACAATTAACAATTTTAACCTTGTTGTGCATGATGAATATGCTTCTCTACTGAGCAGCTCAGCTACGTCGCGACGATGATCACATGATGCTTGCGCTGCGGATGATCGTGATAATGATATTGCACTTGCAATCGCTCATGTGCATAAAAAGCTGCTAAATGATGTTTTGATTTCTGCTTCAGTTTCTCTTGGAGCGAAACCCAAGTGCTCTTCGATCGTTTTCGCAAATAAGATTGAAGATAAACCCTATTTCGCAATCAAAATACTAAACACCCTTTCAGACATATATAAAGCGTATTGTGATCAATTGTAAATATTGTTGACGTTTCCATGATTTATGAAACTGTCTAAGGAAAGTGAATAAAAATTTAAGTCCCAAAATGGCAATAAAACATAGAAGTCATCTATGCGTTACACATTTCGTGACAAACTTATAATAGCCACCATAAATGATTATATTGATTTCGATGGCATAAGAGCTAAGCTCCATAGCCGCCAAAGCCTGCTGTCTGGCTTAAATGAGTCAGGCTGAACATTAGACATTGATATTACCCGATGTGGCCAATTTGCATACTCTATTGCCGGCACCACTCTCATTAGGCACTATTAATTATGAAAGGTTTAATTGATTTCGAATCAGCCGGCATTGGCATGCAAACTTATGCCTTAATGTTGCAATCGCATTCACAATTACACTCGCAGTCGACACCGATTCGAGCAACGACTCGTCGCGTCGTTAGGATTTAATTTATTTGAAAGTAATTGTCTCTAACGCAACTGACATCGATGGGTTTGCTGGTATTTGCCGCGACGATCTCATTATGACTCTGAGTTATTCAACTACTGAAGAGCACTCAACTAAGTACTACAGCTCTCTAGTCGAAACCAGGAAAACGGGTTCGCATATATTTAATACTCTAGAGGTTTTATATAATTTGTTGTAAAACCTGTAACAATATAGAAAACCATTTGCTAAATGTACATATATCCTTGATCAATTTCGATTGATTTCATATTTGCAAGACTTGCACATAAAAGAGTATTTAGTCTTCGGTAAACTGCGTTTAATATTTTTTTAAATTTTTTTTTTTTTTTTTATTGGTATTGAAACTAAGATTTTGAAAACTATAATCGTTGTGAAATAATCCAAGTAAATTACTAATGCATATTTTAATAAGAATATTGTTTGAGAATATCGTAAAAAGAACAAAAACTGTCGTGAGAACAAGAATACACGAGAAAACTATATTTTTATGTTTGCTTAATTATAAATTTAAATAATAAATTTAATAAAAAAATAAATTCTATATCAAACATTATATTATAAATTATGACACTCATGATGAGATCTAAAAAATAATAACAATATTCTAGACTCATAAGAAAAGCATCAGAGATATCAGTTGATGTTTGCGCAACACTCCAATATTTGCATTCAACGGCTGCTCCGATATCCCTTCATCTTTGGAGGCTGGCAACTCTTTGAACGCCACAAAGAGAACACGTAGAGACAATTCCCATCCATTAATTGAATCAAATCGAACGTTACGCATGCGTCACGCCAAATGACAAAGGGAGCCGCCAATGCTTGGATGCAATAACTGGGAGAGGCTCACACATGTGCTCCTCTGCTGCCATAGATGATGAGCATGACCAGGCCAGACCCAGACCCAGACCCGATCTGGCTGGGCCCGGTCTGGGAGTCCACTTCAGACAGCGGACAGCAGACAGCATTGTGTGTATTATGGTTATTGCTATTATGTTATGTATTTGTATGGTCAAAGTGGGAAGCGCAGTTGGAGCGCAAGAAGTGGCCAAGTGGGTGTAGGAGTAGGGAGTGCAGGTGCAGATGGAGTTGGGGATGGAGGCTGGAGGATGAGGCAGCTGGACGTGAACAGTAAACCGGGTGCTGGGCACTTGGCAACCGGCGAATCAAACCGTGCTAAAACCCACTTAATTGACATTTAGTGGACACTCGAATGCGAATTCAAATGCAAATGCTGCGCCATGAGCAGCCGCCACAGCAGCTGCAGCCAAATGCAATCCGAGTGCCAAAGAGGCGATGCACATCAGCTCTATAAGTAGTATGCCTTTTCGACTGCTGTCCATTTACCGAATGGGCTGGCATTCTAATGCGACTTCAGCCCCAGTCACAGCCACGCCAATGATGACGTTGATAATGAGCATGTTGCCCACTCGTTGTTGCTGCTGTTTGTATACCCTAGCCCAGGGTAATTTTACTTAGTCGCTAGAGAGGCAACGCCTATATATAGATATACAGGATGTGGCAGTCAACCGAACTAGTCTACTATAGTCTATGGGCAAAATTATATGTCATAGTACAATATTTACTATCGATAAGGGAAATATTTTGGATTTAAAGATAGTTCGTATATTTAGAAACATATAAGAGTATTGAATATTCGCTTTAAATGCGTTTATTTTCTGCTGCTGTTGTTGTTCTAGCCATGATTTCTGAAGATGCAGCAGCAGCAACAGCAGCAGCAGACATCATTACAATATAATTGATGGGTTATAAACCGGTAACGGTAAATCGAAAAAAAGTTCTTTTAGCATTTTGGCTTTTTTGGCCAACGCAAAGCAAAGTTTTCTCGTTTTCTATTTGGAAATTATTATTGTTCCATTTGACAGCTGGCAAGATGTGCGTATGCACAGACCTGGATATGGGACGTAATGCCACCAAATCGGGTGGGAATTGTCCGTATTTGAAAAAGAGAACTGTTTTACTTATGCGGCATGTTGCTTGAACTTTAGTCAATCATGGCATTTGGGATCTGCTTAGAGATCAGAGAGTCTACTTAATGTGAAGTGAAATTGAAGTGAAATGCAAAGGTAAACAAATTTAGCCAGTTTCAATGGCAAAGTCTTCAAGCGTCAAGAACTCGACCTGCATGCCATCTGAACCGTATCGTCCAGTCTCCTTAGGTAACGATTCGTTCCAATGTCATTTTTACTAAAGCAAAAGCTGACCGATTCAGTCACTGAAAGTGTTTCGCTTATATCGAGCCACTTGAGCAAAAACTTCAAGAAAGTTCAAAACAACATTTGCGGTTACGGTTCTTTCGATTTTTTGTTTTTATTTTCGTTTGATTTTTTTTTTTTATGCTCTTATAATGGCGTCTAAACCGCAGCTGTGTCGGTTGTTTTTATCGTTGCCTTCCCAATGTTGCATGCACCACAAACGAGCGAATCGACGATCGATTTGCAGCAACTTGCCATAAATGGTGCGTAAATTAAATGTTTTATTATTCAAATGAAATGGGTAAAAGTCTGGGTCAACACGTGTCAACTGATGCGCTACCAAGTAGATACAAAATTAAAGAGGAATTCAATGATATAATATCTAAACATCTAAATATATATAAAAAAAAAAAATATAT